TGTACCGTATTTTTCGCTCTATAAGACACACTTGTCCCTTTCTAAAAAGGAAGGGGAAATGTGTGTGCGTCTTATGGAGCGAATGCAGGCGGGAGGCTCTACTCAGTGCTCCCTTTAAAGAGCCGTGTGGAGCGTGTGTGCGGTTCTTGGGGGGTTTTCCCCGAGGAGGGAGAAGGGAAATACAGGAAATATCCTTTAAAAATATGATGATCTTTGTCTATTGGGTAGTTGTAATTTTCTAATTCAGTCATTATTAGCACTTCCTGTGTGAAGCACTTTCAAGAGCAGAAGACAATAAAATGCAATTAAGACCCATTGTTTTCATTTAAAATGTTTTACCATTTTCCCCCCCTCCTGCACTGGAATGGGATTCCAAACGGCTGGACTTCTGCAGGATTATACCATACCTTTTTACAGTATTCCAAATGGGTATGTTTTAATCAGTTATTTCTCACTGCTCAAAGCACTTCTTGAAGCAGAAATATACTTTTCTTTAAGATGCTTAATTTTCCATATGTTGTCTGGATTTAATTTGAATTTCTAGTGTGCCACTATTTAACTCTGAAATGTACAGAACAGCTGTGTGTAGGACCAGGAAGATGTGGCCTTCCATATGTTGATGGTCTGCAACTCCCATCCACCCTGACCTCTGACCACGCAGGGTGGGGCTTGTAGAAGTTAAGAGTTCAACTAAACAACCGGAGGGCCACAGTTTCTCTGTACTATATTAACTATAAAATGTACATAGGTTCTAATATTTTAAGTTGCCTTGCTAAAAAGCATATCACTTACTCAGAAGGTTTAATCAAGTCAATAAAGATATTCAGAGCTGAAGTTTGAAATTTAACTAGTGCCTTGTAGTCTTCCTTTGGTTCTGAAGAAAACAGAGGTCACAATAGTAGTGCCTGCATACAGCAATCATTAATTTATGTGTTATTTAGATGGGAGAACTCCCCAAAAGATTATTTTAGAGACTGGAGATTTATCTTCACAAGGTGGATCTTATAGACCGAGAAATGAGAATTAATGCAAATGGAAGGACCTGATCCCCTTAATAATCCTGATCCCCTTAATAATCAAGTTGCTTTAGAAGGACAGTGGCCTCGAGCTCTGAATTTCCCTGCAATCAGTTACAGAGTGATACTTAGGCACCTTGGATCTTCTCTGCAGATAACAGGCATAACCACAGGTAACAGTTTAAATATAATTGTTTGGTAGATCGCTATTACTTCATTTTACAGCATGGATCTTAGTTATATTAAATGAATCCCATGCACATGAAAATTATAATTTTAGATTATTGATTAACAATATTTTAATGTTAAAAAACCATGTCTTCTAGCTGTTTAGCTTCTTCTTTTGTTTGATAACATATATGCATTCAGAAGTGTCCAAATGTATAATCATATATGCACAGTACTTACCACTTTGGCATCTATAGCCACTTGAGCAAACCCTTTCCGATTTTTCCATATAAGTTTGTATGATTTATCACTAAATAGTGCTTCTCGAACTCCCCCTGGTGAAATTCCCAGCAGATGACCATTTTTTAGAACATTTACACACTCTTGCTGTGTACCAGGTAAAAGCCACATTACAGCACTTAAGTTTTTTAAACCTATAAAATATAAACAAGAAGACATAAACAAATAAACAGCCCCAAACCTGGCTCAGCTGAAGACATGCCAGCATAACTTGCTCATCCTGGCTGAACTGAGACTGACTGAGCGAAGGCTTTTGAAAGTCACCCCAAAAAGGGTGCTCTGAGGATGTGGTGGGATGGGGAGCGGGGAACTTAGGCTGGATCTTAAGCCCAGTCCACTCAGTCACATGACCTGGCGACCTGGCATAGAACCTTTCATTAAAGGCTTGTTTTCCATTAGCCAAGGGCCCACCAATTTGCTCTCTGGCATAGAGCAATTTCCCTTGCCACACTAAGGGCCATTAACTTGTCAAAAAGCTCGTCAACAATGGAATCCTTCATTTTAACCCTTGCTGGATCTAGGACCCCGGGAATTAGAAGGGACTCAGGCATCAAGCAGGCTAAACCCCTATACTCACAACACTGAATCTTGTGCTTCAGATATTTAATGCTAGGCATTAAAACTGCTTAATCTAATGAAGGACTTATCTAGCCAGTGTAAACAGCATTACCTCTGATGCTAAGCAGAAAGAAATTTATAGATTTTGCCATTTTGATAATAGATAAAATCTTGCCAGTTTCTGGAAATCACAAGTGGGGAGAGTGATCCTGCACAAGCTTGGATCTTCTCTTAGGCACCTGACTGGCCACTGTGAGAACAGGATGCTGGAGTAGATGGGCCATTGCCCTCATCCAGCAGATTCTAACTCCCTCTGTTCGCTTCTTTAATGATATAAGATGCTTTTTCATGACCACTGAAGACTAGGCAATGCTTCCTGAAACGAGCAGAGAAAACTTTTGATGGCTAGTAGTTAGCAACCGACTAACCTGTGTCTCCATTAACCGCTCCTCACTAGGAAACTGATGCTGCAAAAGGCTGAAGCTTCCTAACACCATTTGGGGGAAATGGGGTATATTTTAGTATTACACACATTACCTGAAATCAGTTTTAAATTAACAAAGAACATCACCTGGAAGTTTGAAAACAAAACGATCAGCTACTGTATAGCAACTTCGGCGCTTCAGAAGAAAAAGTTTGGATAAAAAGTAACCATAATCTATAGGAATTGCTCCATGGTAAAATATTATAAGGCCTGGTCCATCTGGTAGGTTTTCTATGCCATGTAGTTCGTAACCTGTTTGGAATGCAAAGTGCAAAAGGGTTGTTATTTCAAATTAAGTAACTCTGAATGGGTAACTGAACTATAGTAGATTCCAGTGGTGTAGTGTGAGGTGCCAAGGGGGCCATTGCCCCGAGACCACAATTTGGGGGGTTGTGAACCCTCAAATGACACACTATCCATGCCCTGCCCCTGCCCATTGTGTGAGTGCCGACACAGCGGTGGCAAGGTCTGGGGAGCAGAGGGTGAAGGGCACTCTCTGCGCCCCTTTCCCACCCAGCACGCAACACCTGGCTGCAAGAGAACGCGGACAATACTCTTGACCCCCCTTCACCTCACCCCTGCCCTGCACATGAGCGCTTGCCTGGTGGCAAGGGCTGAGCAGTGCTAAACGTTGATAACTAGTTTGGTTATGTTTGTAATTATGGTAAATATTCTCATGTTGTAAGTTGCCTTGAGCAAGGTTTTAATTAGGGAAAGGCAACATACAAATCAGAAGATGAAGATGAAACATGCTTACCATTCAAATATCTTCCAAGTCTATCCCACATGAATGTTATAATTAGTCGTGCACCATCCCATGCTTTACTGGAATAAGCTTCTTTTAGTTTATGTGTCCTCTCATAGATGAAGATGACCAAAGAAGAAAGGTAAGAAAGAAGCAGCACACATACAGGAATTGTAAAAAATAACAGGATGTTGATAAACACCAGCACTACTGAACAGATGATCACATATGGGAGATATTCAAGAAACATCCATTCTTCCATCAGATACGTAAGGCATGTAGAATATGTCATAGTTGTATGTAGCATTTATTCACACTAATAATGTCCTGGGTTTTTTTTAAAGAAAAAGAATAAAACAATGTGAAACCCTTTCTACCACAAACTGCAGTCTCCTCAAAAAAAACTTGAAGCATCTCTTCATTCCAGAAAAACCAGTTGTGAGCTGTTAAATATTCCTCCTGTTCTAGAGATACTAGCAATACAATCAAATTATCTTGCCCAAGAACTACACCAGCCAATCTACATCACATGTCTCGCCTGAGGCTGTGAACACTAGTTCTCTGCAACATAGATGGTAGAACAATATGTAGAGTCCAGCTGATTAAGGAGGGGACGTGCAGCAGGCACACAATACTGTGAGCAAATGTGCCAGGATGTTGTAACTATCACCATGGAGCAGGTACTGAATGGTAACCCAGTAAATTTCTTCTGCCTAGAAGCATAGCTTGGACCTCATATCCAAAATCATTTTAATCCTATACATATTCACAGTGCTGCCTTCTGCATATTTACTCAAGAGCAAGTGCTACTGTGCAAAAGGAAGCTTACTCCCAGGTAAACGCTCCTCTGGCACATGTGCCTGCCTTCCCCCAGCATGTGGCACCCCCTGGGTGCAGGTGCCCACTGTGTCTTAAGTTCAGGGCTGGAGACTTAACAGTGTACGTAGTTCCTCTTTGCAATGGGCTAGATAGGATAGAAAAGTCCCCCCCCCCAACTTGTCCTCCTAGCTTCAGAGTGAAGCCAGCAGCACCCAAGTAGCACAGAGTTCCATTTTCTGTCCTCAGAGCACGTGGGTGGGCCAGGTGCCTCTGGTGGGCTCTTCAGCACCACCCAGCAGAAGTCCCCCAATGGGGCATTCTGGGGGAGCCCTGAAGTGGATCTCCCCTTCACAATAGGAAAAAGCGCTACATGGGAGAATAAGGAAGATCGAAGGCGGTGCTAGAAGGCTGAGTGCTCCTGAGGGCTTGGCAAAAGGAATGAGGGTTGTGTAGAAGTTGACAGACGCCAGGGTCCCAAACACCTGGAGGTCCCCTAGTTGTGTGTGTTGGGGGCGGGCGACTGAGTGACACAGCAGCTCTCTCAGAGTTGCTCAGCTCCACAGCCACAGCAGCTCCACCATTCCCTCGCCTCCCCCCGCCCCATCAACCGCTCTCCCGCCCTGCTCCGCTCGCGCGCTTTCCCCTAGCCTCGCCTCCTCTCAGGCTCTTCTGCGCGCCGAGCTTCCTTCACACGGGACGTCCTCAGCTCCTCACGTGGGCGCTTCGCAGGGGGACCCGGGAGCTCCCTGCGCCCTTCTGCCTCACCTCTGCGGTTACCTCGTCCGTCGCTAGCGGAGGGCGGAAGGGGAGAAGAAGAAGAAAAAGAAGAATGACACGAGGAAATGGGTATCGGCCGCCAGAGATCCTCACCGGCGCTTCCTTCCGAGGGGCTCGGCTGCTGCTGTTCGCAGCAGGTTGTCGGTGAAGGTAGCCTCAAGCTCGAAGCGTCTGCTAGGGAGAGTCGCGCTGGTGTTAAAAGGAGCTTCGCAGTCTTGCGGACGAGTCTGCGGTCGGAGGTGAGGCTGCCTCGAGCTGTTTGCGCCTACGTACTTAAGCAGGAGCCTGCCGGTTTTTGTAAAAAAGAAATATATCGGGTACTTTCTACCATGGGGCGGGGACAGAACCTCAGTTTGCTATGTATTTTTTATTTAGGTTCTAGCACATTTGCAAACGAAGCAGGGTCCAGTATGGTTTCAAATTGGCTGAGAGACTTTGTTGGGATAACTAGATGACCCTTGGAGCTCCTTCCAACTCTACATTTTATGATTCTATGAACAAAAACGTTTACTTACATTCCTGGTAAGCCTAAATTGCCTTGACTTCAGTCACCTCTCTGGGAGCAGCAGAAGGCTTGTCTGGTGCACTTTTTCGTTGGCTAATTTTCACCCCTATGGAGACTTGACCCTTTATGTGGTGGTTTAAAGAGACTCTGGAGGGTGTGCCATCTGTATGAGGAAACAAAGCATTGTGAAAAAGAGGGAGGGCTTGTGGAGGCTGCTTCAGGGAAGTCGTGGCCCTTTTTAATTAAATGTAAGTTATGGGGTCAAGATGTGCTTGCAAGGTATCCTGCAATACGTAAACCTTGATAACATGTTCTGTTTACAATATTAAATCCTAGCGCTGCATCAGGAAAAGCTTTTCCATTGGACCTCTCTCTTTAATTCTCTTTAATTTAGAGCAATAATCACATACACATATGGTGGTCTGTTTTACTCTATTTTTGAGGGGAGAGGTATTCGTTGTGACAGAGTAGTAGTACTTTCCTGCATTAAGGGGTTTGATCAACAGGGGAGAAATAATTTGATAGCCTTGCCTTGTTTAATTTGTTTGACATGGTTAGTTTGTTCTAATTTTCTTTTTTGGAGTCTTGTAAAGACCATTACTCTTCACTCCCCCCACCACCACAATGCTTTATCACCAGGTTCTCAAGATTTATGAGGATTTATAAAGTAGCTGACCTTCCTTATCCACAAAAATGCTGTGTCATGAAGTTCTCTGTCTGCAATTCAGTCATAGATGCAATAAAGACATATAAAAGGCAAATAAAGCCGAAAAACAAAAAACAAACAGGTCTCCAATCTTCACTAGTCCCTTCATGAATCAATTGAAGAAGAGCTAAAACCTACCAAAATCCATTAAAACCACTTAGAACCTACTAAAAGGCAGATTAAAAACCACAAACTTCCAGAGAGGGATGTTATCTCCCAATCTGCTGAGTCCCTTCCAGACTTTTTCCTTTTACTTCAGGAAACAGTTAATTTGAGGTAAAGTTAACAGAAGTTAATGCGCAGGAAGGACCTCCATCAACAATATCCTTAGCTTGTGTCAGAGGAATGAAAAAATTATGTTATCAGCTGCATAATTCCCTGATGAAAAAATGCATGGCTATCAAGTACATTAGAAAATAATGGACAGAAGGATTTCAGAGCAGAATCAGCATGTTGATTTCCTTCTGAAATTATATCTTTGAATGCTGTATGGGAGCAACCGTGAGAGTAAACATGAGCAGCATAGAAAGGCACAATTCTATTTGTCAAGAGATTTTTCAGTGTCAAAAACAAAGAGTAGATTAAAATCTTGCATAGGAGAAAGATAGGAATTAGCCAAATGTGCTAAAAAGATATCCCACTTCACACAAAAATCATGAAATGCAGTGAAAGTGTAGGCTGGTCTCTGTCAGTTTCCTGATTAGCTGCAAAAAATATGCCAGTTATTTTCAGAATCCTTATATGTTAAAACACTCTAGAGATGTTGAATAGGAACCTGCTTTTGGACAGAAACCAATTTCCAGGGTACCTGTTGAATTAAAACTAGGCGTGAATCTTTAGGAGGGTTAAAATAAACTATCCCAAGTTAATCAGTAAATGCAAACTGATAGGAAAGAGAAGAACTCATTAGGGACTCGTGTTCCTCTTTAGAAAAAAAGCAAATAACAAACAGCAATATCAAATCCAGTGTTAGGCAAATGTAGCCACTTTAAAACCACTATTCTGTCAGCAGCATCTGGGGAAAAAAGTAGTCCTGTAGGTGAAAACATTGTATCAAGGAAAATCACTCGTATGAATTGACCCCAAAACTCTGCAACTGCTGTAAAGTAAATTCATTAGGAATTTTAAGTTGAGGGAGGAAAGGAGAAAAAACAGTCTGCAACAGGTGATGAAGAATAAGTCTCACTGTCTGAGGTGGAATCAGACCTGTATGCTATGTCTTAATTTTATAAACCACCATAGGGCACTGGAACTGAAATTAGCAAGTTCTGCTGTCATTAGATTCAAACCAGCACTGCCCTTAGCGGCATGGCGCAGATCTGTCACAGGAGACTGTGTGTTAAAAGCAACTGTGTTAGAAGCAATAGGTGGCTCTGCTAATTTAGCTTCAGTAAAATCCTGACAATCAGCTGGCACAACAGTCTTTGTTATCCCATTTAAACTCAGGCTGGAAGGCCATCCATTGTGGCATTGCCTGTCTTTAGCAGGATGAACTGAAGGAGACAAAGCTGCTGCTTGTTGTTGTTGTTTAGTCGTTTAGTCGAGTCCGACTCTTCGTGACCCCATGGACCAGAGCACGCCAGGCACTCCTGTCTTGCACTGCCTCCCGCAGTTTGGTCAGACTCATGTTTGTAGTTTCTAGCTGCTGCTAGGAGGGCAGATTTGTGAATCTCAGTGTCAATATTCTGGCAAGGCTTACTCATTTGAGCAATATCTGTTTCTGGCTTCTGATAACTTGCTTTAAGAGCAGTCTTGCAATCAGCATTTTCATTTTCATAAGCCAATTGTTTCATTTAAACTTCAGAGGCTTCAAGGTTTGGAATTTAAGTACTGGCTCCTCTTAGCCCATCAAGAATGCCATGCAAGCCATTTTCTGTCACACTTCGCTTCAATTGTTTAAAAACTGCGAAGGGCAATGATTCACGGGCTCTCTGTTCCTGTGCATTCTGAACAACAGGACAGACTGATAATAATGGTAAGGTGTCAGCTATTTTTCCTTCACTGCTTCCTTCTGCCATATTTGGAATAACCAATTTTTGCACTGCGGTCTGAGCCCCTTGCGGGCATTGGTCCAACAAAGAAGGTGGCATGGAATTTACATTCGACCCAGGCAAATCTTTGGCAAAGGAAGGTGCCACTGGGAATGGAAGTACCTTTAGCATGACCTCAGAGAGAGGCTTGAAATCTAGAGGCTGAGATGGGGGAAACAATATTATAGTATTTTTAAAAGCAGCTAGGGGTTGCAACAATGTGGGAGCATTCACAAAGACAACGGGTGGTTGGAGCAAAGCGTTAGAGAGCTTTCCAACTGCGTCTCTACACAAATGCCAGGTGTGCAAAACTTGTACAGATGCCTCAGGATGTCTATGGAGTGCATCTCCCAGCTCATTCCATTTCTTAATGTCATAAGTACCCCCCTCTGGAAATCAGGGGCACAATCTAGCAATCCCTAACAACATTTTTTCTACTAAGGGTGCTAGATGCTTATCATGCCCTGCCTGAGCTAGCAAAAATAACAAATTATTCCTATGCTTTTCCTGCTCATGTGAAAGCTTGCTTCCCATGATCTCACCTGAAGGGGTATAGACGCACGTCTTTGGGGCTCGTTCCGAGCGAATGAGATCCTAAGTCTGGGAATCGTTTTGCAGGAGATGATCCACCGCAACCAAGGGATAGCAGGTTGCTAGCTCCGAGGGTTGTCCAATCCTGGGGGTTTCCTTTTGCTGAGGTTTCCTTTTGCTTTGCCTCACACGCTGAGGTTTTTTTTTTTTTACAGGCCTCACACGTTTCTTTTTAGCTTAGCCTCACACGGGGCACCACTTGAGGCATTCCCAAAGTAAAGGAAGGATTGAACTCTGATTAATGAGAATACACACAGAGGCTTGAACCAGCAAGACTGTGGGAAGGGTGTGCAGAATAATCTCTCTCTGTCTGTGTCTCCAGCCCCCTCGGCCCAGGTTGTTTTATTCACAAAAGAACTTTTTACAGAGTGTTCGTAAGAACCAATCAGATTTCTTCTGAGCATTTCAACAAATCCATGTGGGGAGAAAGTTAAACTACCAAAACTAATTAGGCATGGGGTAAACAACAACTACAAAGGAGAGCATTTGGCAACCCCAGAGGTGATAAACAAGCAATATATATGATAAGAAGGATGGCAAGGAGGACAGCGATCATTATCACCTTCGTGTGAGATCTGTTTCCTGGCCCTAAGATTAACATCCTGGGATTAACATATCAGAAAGGCCTTCAAAAAAGCTTGCCCACTATCTTTATGGCCCAGGATGCCTGCCTGGTGAAGCAACTGGCAGTGTAGGTGACTGGTGAAGAAAGAGAAATAGAACAGGGATGCAGAGGTGTGGATTGATCAAGAATCATAGCAAAATAGTTTAAACCCAGACAATGCAATGCTTTCATTGCTGACACAGATGGCTTACTCTATATTTGTTATAATTCCTCATAGTAATCCCACCTGATCACTACACTCCATCTAGACCTAAACAGAGTGCAACAACCATAGACTGGTCACCGACACCTCTTTTTTGTCAAAGGAGTAAGATACAGGGATGTCTTCAGAAATTTGTGTAGTTATTTATCTATAGGACATCTGATAAGATGGTGTTCAACATGGTGGGCGGTGCTACTGCGGGGCAGGCACCAGACCCAGCTTCATGGCTGAGTTGGCTGTTTTTGTTAGATCAGTCACTTTTTTCACCAATTCCAGCTGTATTTTTCTCTCTCTACTTTTCTTGCTATAGGTTTAAAAGGATTTGCATTATAGGGCTCAAATCTTGGAGCACCCTTTTATAAACATAAAAGAAGTGCCACTGTTTTAATACAGGTAATTTATAGACATTACTCTTTCACATGTAACATTATTTCATGTTTAGTTAAACACTCGCCTTCCTGTTATACTGTTTGATTCTGCCTCTACTAGTGCAAGTTCCCCAAAAAGGGGAATTCTGGGTGTATAGCAGGATAGGGCAGGAAAGCACTTGTACGTCTTCAAAAACGTAGGACCTTCTGCACACACAGCAGGTGCTGAGCTACTGAGCTAGGGACCCTTCCAAATACTTCATATACAATCCAGCACAATTCTGTGTATATCAATTTAGTTTTAATAACGTAAGTATTAATGCTTCCTATTACAGACACCTCGTCAGAAACACTGCAACTGTTTTATATGGACTAGTTAGCTTTGTAATGCTTATCAAATCGTTCTGAAAGAGCTCTTAATATATTTCCTGGCCTTTTTTGGTGTTTATCCCGAAGATTTTCAAGTGCAATCTTCGCCTGTTGAAAGAAAACCAGAGGAATACATTGTGTTATAGGAATAGATTGCAAAATAGGTATTCACAGTTATTTATATCTGTGAGGAAAAAGCTAAAGGGATCAGAACCAGAGGCACAATATGTGACTTCTTTCTGGGATACACAACTGACTTTGTACACAGAGATGTGTTGCATGAGAGTCCTTGTCTCTCAACCCTCAAAAGTGGCTTCTTCAACATGGAGGGTTGGGCCAGAGCAGCCAGGGTGAGAAACCCCCCCACTAGGAAACTGCTCATCTCTCAGTGAATCCAGCTCACTCTCTTTATGTTTACCAAGAGCACTGTATGAGAATGGCAGAGAAACAATCAAACATATGTGCCTTGGGCTGCTTTGTACACAGTAGTTACCTTGCATGGTTGTTACAATGTAGGATAAAAGGAGCGAACCTCAGGACAACCAAGGCATAACCCCTTGCAGAAAGAAATTTCTTATCTGCCCCTTTAAACAGTCAATCAAAACCTGAAACTTGATGCAGCAAGAAAACAAGCAGAAAGTGCTTGGAGAAGGATCAGGCATACTAAACAATGTTCCCACCCCGTTCCCATTAGCCACCAGGACCCTACATGCTCCTCCCCTTAGCCCCCTCCCTTTGGGACTCAGCTTCCCAAGTTTTCCTTGAGGAAGGGGGGAAGTGTAACATCCCCTGCAGGAGCAGGTAGAATAAGTCATGCAATGTAATACCATACAAATGGTATCTGTGTTTGACCTTGTCTTCAGTGAAACGGCATCTCATTTAGGAGCTTGCTGATGCACAAGTAATAACAAATTACAAATGTGTTGCAGGCTCAGAGTTGATAGCTTGGTAGTTGGTCAGGAATTATGGCACCGTTTAACAAAGCTGTATCTCTTAAACACACATCAGCGTGTACATGCAACACATATCAACGTGTACAATAAATTGTCTTCCTCTTCAACCCTCTCCATATCCTCAAAAATTAGCACTAGGGTGGCTTGGAGGTACCTTGTCAGGCAGATTCTGGGGCACATAATGTAGGGTTGCCATATGTTTGGGAAATCCCAGACAGGTCCTTCTGGGGCCATCTGGGGGGTTTCTTTTTTCCATTTTAAGGAAATATCCGAGTTGGGGGGGGTAAATTTGTGTGTGCGCTGTTTCAGGCTCCTACGTGAGTGACTCTGGTTCTGTTTTGTGCCTGTGGGCAGTTGGGGTGGGGAGAGGGCAACCGCCCCCCCAAAAAAAACCTCAACATTCTGACCAATGGCCCCAAAGAAGCTCAGCTCAACAACTTTTTATGCAATTGACCAAAATTTTCATCAGGAGCAATTAGAACGAGATCTATTTTTTGATTATTTGTATAGTCTACCCTAGTATAGTGGAAAGAAGCAATCCCATTACATGAGCAGATCTATCTTTGTACCACATAGTTTTTTTCCCATTTAATTAGTCTCAAGTTAAGGAGAGGGGAAATTGAGTGATGGGCATGATGCACAAAAGTATATATAATGAACCCTATATCAGGTCATATAGAATGAAGAAATCAATATGTACAATAAGATTTAGAGCTGAAAGAGAGAGAAACCAAGAGGAAAAGAAATATTCTGCTTTAAAACTTCCAAGTTTAGAGTTAACTTACTCTTTCAGCCAGCTCTACAGCTGTTATATTTGGATCATATGGGATGGGTTCTCCAATAAATGTCCTCAATTTCACTGGAAACCCTCCGTAAATGGGAAGCACCATACATCGAGTTTTCTCATACAGCCATGTTGTCAGCCCTGTGTATGAAATGGAAGAAGATTCTGAAGGAAAGCGACACCATATCAAATCTGAAATTAGTTGACATTCTCAGTGTTTAGCAATTGCAATAAATAGTAAGAGAGGAAGACTTAAATAATATGAGTGCTTGGGAAAACAGATACAGTGCTACCTCGGGCTACGAGCGCTTCAACTTACTTTTTTTGGGTTACGAACGATTGTAATCTGGAAGTAAGTTGTCCAAGCCCTCGGAGGACTTGCCTCTCAGAGGCAAACCCAGACATCGGCGGGGCCTACGGAGCTGTCAGAGGCCTCCGCGAATGCAGGGAACCAAGCCCTGACATCTGCGCTGCCTAGAGCGGCTCTGCGAATGGGGGGAACCAAGCCCCGACAACCACGGTGCCTAGAGCGGCTCCGCGAATGCCGGGAGCCAAGCCCCGACATCCATGGTGGCTGCAGAGGCTCTGCGACTGGGCTCCCACCACAGGAGCTCTCTGAGGCCTCCACGAATGCCAGAAGCCAAGCCGATTGTGATTGTGGAAAAGGACCCTGAGCCCCCTCCAAACAGTGAGTTTGGAAATAAATTTTAATTTTTTTCATCTAAAATACCATCTTATTTATTTTATAGTACAGTACATTGATTATTGCCTTCATTTTATGGATCAATGGTCTTGTGAAACAGTAAAATTTGTGTTAAATTGCTGTTTTAGGGGGTGTTTTTTCATCATCTGGAATGGATCAATCCACTTTCCATTACTTTCAATGGGAAAGTCTGCTTCAGGTTAAAAACGTTTCAGGTTAAGTACAGACTTCCGGAACCAATTAAGTACTTAACCTGAGGTACCACTGTACAAGATATTCAGTCAGCTCTTGTCAGCTCTTTGCAATCAGTCATAAGTTGTGTACAATAGCCTGCAGAATATGGTATGTTTCCTGTTCAGTTCCCCTCCATGTTAGGGTTCCTCCCACATTTATCGATTATAGTTTTCTGTTAAATCTAATAGAAAACTAAGCAAGGGCATGTTGACTCAGTACTGAGGGAGGCAGCACAACTTTTGCAGATAAGTGGACATGGAATAAAATCTATTAAGTAAAAGTAAAGGGACCCCTGACCATTAGGTCCAGTCGTGACCGACTCTGGGATTGCGGCTCTCATCTCGCTTTATTGGCCGAGGGAGCCGGCGTTTGTCCGCAGACAGCTTCCAGGACATGTGGCCAGCATGGCTAAGCCACTTCTGGCGAACCAGAGCAGTGCACGGAAACGTAGTTTACTTTCCCGCTGGAGCGGTAACTATTTATCTACTTGCACTTTGACGTGCTTTCGAATTGCTAGGTTGGCAGGATCAGGGACCGAGCAACGGGAGCTCACCCCATTACGGGGATTCGAACTACCGACCTTCTGATTGGCAAGTCCTAGGCTCTGTGGTTTAACCCACAGCGCCACCCATGTCCCTATAAAATCTATTCGTGCTTAGTAAATAGATATTCTTTTTAAAAGATCATTCTATAGTATTAAAATGTATATTGCCAGAGATCTCTTGATTAACCAAGGTATTTAACTTACTTGTCTTTCCAATGGTCCTGTATGCTTCACAACTGTTTTGTGTAAAAATAGGGATGATGGGCTAAAAAAATAAAAGATGAAACAAACATGAAAAGAAAGGTGAGGAGTGGATAATTATTTTGTCCAAACCATCCTGCCTTTATTTTTGTTATGGACTATGAAGAATGCTTCACATCTGAGATTATGATGAGAAGCAACTCATAAATGATAATGTAATTGGCTTTAAAATTCCTGACACATCTATTCAAATCTCTCAGATGAAGAAAGTTCAGAAGCTGTCCTCCAGAGTTTCAGGAATTGAAGGGGAAAAAAGAATTTCCTGGTTTGCCCTGAGGGGGAAAGGAAGCCAGGTGCAACCAACCAGCCGCTGAATTCTGGAGTTTGGCGGCAGCTCGTAGGCAATGAGCACCCAAAAAAGGTCTTGGGGATGACCAGGACTCTGAGGGCTCCTGTGGAGGTCAAAAGTGAGTTCCTAATGGGTCTGAGGTTCCATTTGCTGCTGGCCTGACCCGGCTGTCAAGCTGCGGTCTCTGGGCTCCAGATAATAAAACCAAGGAAAAAGGGATTTATTACACTGGTCAACAACAAATTTGTTGTCTGCGTTTTTTCAGTTGATTCAGGACGAATCTGATGCGCTGAATCCAAAAATCACATTGGTTTTGCTCAATCAGGTCAAGTTTTTGATTAGCAGATTTCCCAGAAAATAAAACCAAGGAAAAAGGGATTTATTATTCAAGTGTCTTTAGCATTTGGATTAATTTGGCGAACATCCAGGAGAACAAAAGGGGAGTCTTCTCTAGAATTGGTGACTATCCTGCATGGGAACCAGATGGCTGAAGCATTGAAGGAAACAAAGAAAGTCTGCCATCGGAAATAAAAGGAAGGGGACAGGAGGATAAGAACTTTGAAAACTTTCTTTTGAAAGAAAAAGCATTCAAACTTTTATACAGTGGTGCCCCGCAAGACGAATGCCTCGCAATACGAAAAACTTGCTAGACGAAAGAGTTTTCCGTTTTTTGAGTCGTTCCGCAAGACGAATTTCCCTATGGGCTTGCTTCGCAAGACGAAAAGTCTTGCGAGTTCTTGCGAGTTTGTTTCCTTTTTCTTAAAGCTGCTAAGCCGTTAATAGCCGCTAAGCCACTAAACCGCTAATAGCCGCTAATAGCCGTGCTTCGCAAGACGAAAAAACTGCAAGACGAAGAGACTCGCGGAACGGATTAATTTTGTCTTGCGAGGCACCACTGTACTCCTCCCCCCCGGATTCAACTGGCGGCAGCTATAGCATCTCAGGAACTATTGGCAGACAATTTGGCTTTAATTGAATTGAGGCAAAAAGAGATGCTTTTATGATTTAGATCTATTGCTCAGCAATCGGGTGAAGCAATAAGGGATAAAATAATTGAGGCACTTGCAAATCTTCTTCAGACTCAAAAGCAGGAGGTACATCAAGCTGTTGATCATGCTTTCAGGTTTAAATCCCCGTATGCTAAGAAGAAAACATTTCCAGGAGATTGTATGGTGTGTTTTTCTTCTTCTAGAAATATCAAAGACTGAGTGCTTCAGACATATTATGAGAAGGATCTTGAAATAGATGATGACTGGCAGCATTAAGATAAATTCTGCAGTGTAATATGTTTTGATGGATTCAATAATGGAATACTGAATAGTATAGTTTTTGTAAAATATGCAGGGATTTATGATATGTAAAATGAACTATCAAAGGAGAAGAAAGGAAGTCATTGATATCTTAAGGATGTAAAATGAGTATTTTAAACATTAAAACAATTTTTTAAAATAAAATTATAAAAAAGAAAGATAAAAGAAAAATGCTTGTTTTCTTTTTAAATGTCACCAATTTCAGTAGATTTGTTTTAAAGCAGGGGTGGGGAGACCTGTGGCACTCCAGATATCATTTGACCCCCAAACAGGATATTTGCCATCCTCAGCTTTTTTGGATGCTGGATCAAGGATGTCAACACATTACATCTTATCTAGGATAATCGTGAAGGCAATGCAGATTGCACAAAGATCACTCACCACTTTCGCCTCCAAAGCTGCCTGAGCAAAACCTGTGCGTTTACCCCACATTATGCAGTAATCGTGACTATACAGTGCTTCTCTACCTCCACCAGGTGCAATGCCCAGTAAATGGCCTTTCTTCATTATTTCCACAATTTCAGCTTTCTTGTAAGATTTCAACCTGATCACATAATAAAACATCTGCAGCCCTGAAAAAAATAAGCTCCAAATAGAAGAATGCATTTTATGTGAAACTTATTTAGGAAATACTGTGGATACAATACAAGTGTCATTATTCCAAATATATTGCACTATTATGGATCACAAGCATAGCTCTCTGCCATCCATTTCAACTATGATTTCATGGGGAATTTCAATACCTTTAGGGTGCAGAGCTTTTGGATCCAGTAGACACACACACGGGAGAGGGGGGGGGGGAGGAGATACACACATGGAACTGAGGAGACTATGCTGATGGAAAACTGCCACCTCCAGCAGAGATTGGTACACAGATATATGGGTGGAGGTTATTTGCTGCATCAATTAACCTAGTGGAAGAACTACAAACAGCACTCTGTGCTACTGGGCCTCTTTGGCCTCCTTCCTTCCTTCCTTCCTTCCTTCCTTTAAATGACCTTTCTGTGATGTCATAGTTTCCTGGTGTGGCTGCTGTGTGCGTGCAGAGGAAGATGATGTGGGGGGAGTGGCAGTGGAGGGCCATGAACACTACACAAGGGTGCCACAAATGCTTGATTGCAGTGTCACATGGGGGCATAAAAGCTGTGTGTGGGAGTGCTTGATTGGTTATGTGTTTGGGTGGGGGCCATGTTTTCTGGGATCTGTGTGCAGATTTGGTGATAGGTTGGACTAGCTATGAAAGCCACGGACATGTCTTTGGGGCTTCACTTGGGCTTCTGCCCTTTTCCTTAGCTGTAGCTCCCACCCCATCCCAGCTGCCACCCAGTGGTGTTTGAATACAGAGGATTTTGCACAGCTGGTTTGCTAGTGCAGATGCTCCCAAGCAGAATCCCATACTTTGCGTTGTTCTTTCCAGTAAGGAATATCCCATCTTTACTAATGACAGAACTTTGCAAAACTCTTTGTACTTGAGAAAATCATCAACTTAGACACCCCAAAGCTACACCTTGTCCTGTTCTGGTATTAAAGTGAACAGCAATTATTACATGAGAGCTTGTAGTCATAGCATAGGAATCAGATTACACATTATCCAGATTGCTCAGTTTTTAGATTTCTGGGGAAGAATGTAGACAGAAAAGCATGGCATTTCTTCATGGAGACCATTTCTGCTGACTCAGTTGTGAATTGGAAATAATTATTCATCCTGCAATCATTCTCTTTTACTAGCAAAGACTTGGTGCGAAAGTACCTTCATCTGCACTAACTAAACTATTTCACCTGTTGCTGCTATTTTATTTATCAATTGTTTTTACCTGCTTTCCTGATGTACAGTTTTATATTTTATAGCATTGTTTCATAGCTTATAGCATTGTTTTATGTCATATTTTACATATTTTAAGTAAAAAAGCATGATTTAAATTTAAATAATTTACCTGGTATCCAATACACGATATGATGAATTAATGAAAAGCACCCTCTCCCTGTCTCTAAAAAATATCTAGCCGCAAATAAGGCATAGCCAAGAGGAGCAACTCCATGATGATAAATAATAATCCCTGGTCCTTTAGGGATATGTTCTATACCAGTAAGTTCATAACCTGAAAATAATACGAAATGCAACAAAGAAATATCGCAACCATTACTGGAGGAAATCAGTGTGGTTCAGGGGGAAAAAAAGAAATTTAAGATCAGGTTAAAAGCTCTGTTATATGCTTTTGAATTATGGAGTTGGAGAAGACTCTTGAGAGTCCCATGGACTGCAAGAATATCAAACCTATCCATTCTTAAGGAAAGAGCCCTGAGTGCTCACTGGAAGGACAGATCCTGAAGCTGAGGCTCCAATACTTTGGCTACCTCATGAGAAGAGAAGACTCCCTGGAAAAGACCCTGATGTTGGGAAAGATTGAGGGCACAAGGAGAAGGGGGCGACAGAGGACAAGATGGTTGGACAGTGTTCTCGAAGCTACCAGCATGAGTCTGACTGAACCATGGGAGGCGGTGGAAGACAGGAGTGCCTGGCATGCTCTGGTCCATGGGGTCACAAAGAGTCGAACACGACTAAATGACTAAACATCGATGACAATATGCTCCAGCATTCTGGATGTTAGGTTGTCATCCACATGGATCAAGACTTTCTCTGTGGTGGTCCCTTAATGAATGAAGGGATTTCTCCTCTCGTGGAATGTTCCTTCCTTGCTTCCTTTTGATCACAGCTGGAAACATTTTTGCCCAATCTTTGAGTGAGCTAAAACTGTGTTTTGCTGTTTTAGTCTGCTTTAAGCTTTTATATGGGGTTTAGCCCTTGGGATGGTTTAATATGTTGTTTCAACACTTACAGTAACATGTGGGAAGCATTGAGAACATATAAAGAGTCCTATGGATCAGGCCAAAGGCTTCTGTATTAGACCATCCTTTTTCCCCACAGTGTCCATCTAAATTAGTAGCCATCACCACATCCTGTGCTGGCAAATTCCATAGTTTCTGTACATACAGTGGTACCTTGGGTTACAGATGCTTCAGGGTACAGACACTTCAGGTTACAGACTCAGAAATAGTACCTCAGGTTAACAACTTTGCTTCAGGATGAGAACAGAAATTTGAGGCAGCCTGCTGCAGGAGTGCATTCGAGTCCAGAGATCACAGTTTGACAGCCGGGTCAGCCTGGCAACAAACGGAACTGCAAAGCCATTGGGAACTCACTTTTGACCTCCATAGCAACTACAGTGGTACCTCAGGTTAAGAACTTAATTCATTCTAGAGGTCTGTTTTTAACCTGAAACTGTTCTGAACCTGAGGTACCACTTTAGTGGGGACTCCTGCTGCTGTGGCGCTGCCATGGTGCGATTTCTGTTCTCATCCTGTAGCAAAGTTCTGTAACCTGAAGCGTCTGTAACCCGAGGTACCACTGTACATAGTTGCTAATAGTGCCTCTGTGAGGGGTAAACAACATTCTCCAGGTTTCTTTAGGGGAAGAAGCATACTTAAAATGTGGTTTAAATGTATGGTGTTTATGCAGCCACCAGCTGACCCTTTCCTTTGTAATCTGTCTTATTTATTTATTTTATCATTTATTGAATACATATAATGCCCTCAGGGTGTATATAAGGAGGAGGCTGGCTCAGGGCCTTAGTTTCATACTTCATAAAATGCTTTGTTTTTCTTATTACATAAATAAATAGCCATGCCTTTATTTTGATCCTTATGTAGCCAACCCAAACTTGTAGCTGTTGTGACTCTGAGGGGGGTTCAGAGGTCCAGTCCTGATTCACTGTGGCAACTATTGTTCCATTGATTCAAGCCTGAAATTCTGATCCTCAGTCCTATGAAATTATAGTGACTCATAAGGAAGAATTATTGCTATGAAAGAAACTTTTACTCACCATGCCATATCTTTCCATATATATCTATAATATGAGCAAAAACTTTCCTTGGCTTTTTCCAAATTTTGCTATCAGTACCAGTTTCTTGGTGCTTATTCAACTTCTTGTAAACATATAGCCCAAATGAGCAAGCACAGCCAACCAAATATATATCTATTATTAACGAACAAAGCAAAATCAGAAGCTTAAGAAACCACCAAGGGTGAACCACTGAGCTCAGGTATTCTTCTAAATAAGGAAAACTAATCAAGTTTTGCAACATAAACCAGCTCATTGTTTCCTGATCTGAAGCACCAAGCGTATGCCAATGAAATAAATATATGAAGTGAAATTTTCTTCAGTTGTGATGCTATTTCCCCCACTGTTTACCTGGAAAACAGAAAATGCAGTACATTGGTTTGATCTGTCATCCCAGGAACATTCATGAATACATGAAAATCTCATGCTGCTTAATATTTTCCTAGTTTTCCCCACTGTAACTTGCCAAGTTGCCGTATTGTGTTTCCAACGTCCATCATGGAGACTTCCAAAATTACAAATATATGACTCCATCATTTATCTGTTGTAAAGCAAGCTGGTTTCATTCCACTGCTGAAGCTTTTGTTTTGTTTTGTTTTGTTTTGTTTTGTTTTTTGCATTTTCAAAAACAGGAACAGAGAGCATCTTTTATCCAACATAGTCATGATGCCTTGAAGTAAAGTTGAAGGTCTGGCAGGGCAAACCTCCTCTTTCTTTTCATCAATCATAATTTTAAATTTTACTCTGGGATTCATTTCCTGCCATATGAACCTTAATACTTTTTTCTGCCACTCTATGAAACATCAGATATCATTTATAATTGGAAGTACATTCATTTTGATGGCCAAAACAGTGATAGCTTCATTCTCTCCCATATTTCCAAATCTTTCTTTCTTTCCAAGCTTTTACATAGTTGTCTTGATAGATATTATGTTTTTTTATTGTTAACCAAATCCCCAGATATTTTATTTTTATTTCTATTTCCCACCCACATTGTCTTTTTTTGTTTGATTATTCTTTATTTTTTTAGCAGCATCTTGATTTTTCCCTTTATTTTGTTTGCAGCCAGCCAATTATACAAATCTACTTATCCCTTCTGTCACCTCCAGTATGCTCTTTCTGGGTTGTTCTAAGGTTAATACGATGTCATCCGTGAATGCTTTCAATTTGTAATTTTGCTGGCCCACTGTTATTCCATTGATTTTATACTTAATCCTTATATTTTGAGCCAGTACTTCTAATATTAATATAAATAACAGCGGGGACATTGAGCAACCTTGCCTCATCCCTTTATATATCATACATTTTCCTGATATGTTGTTTACAATTATATTGGCTGTCTGCTCATTATAGATTGATTTTATACTTTTTATAAAGGTCTCCCCAAATCCCACTGCTGGAGTATTAAGGAAAGTGAGAAAGGGTCACTTCTCCAAGAGCCCGGCAAGGCCCTCTGCAGCCGCAGATATATCATGTGATGTATTGTGATATTGTGGTATTTAGCTGGTAATATATTGTGATGTTATAAACCTGATATCGCCCAGCCCTAAAGCACACTGAAAGACAGACAGCATTTCTCTCTCTCTCTCTCTCTCTCTCTCTCTCTCTCTCTCTGCTGATGCCTGCACAGGAAGTGACAAATAGCACAACTACTAGAGTCCAGAAGGGTCCAGTATGGTTTCAAATAGAATGAGAGACTTTGATGAGATTCCTGCATTGCAGGGGGTTGACTAGATGACCCTTGGGACCTTTCCAAATCTACACTTTATGATCATCTGAACAAAAACTTTTACTTACATTCCTGGTAAGCCTAAATTGCCTTTGCTTCAGTCACCTCTCTCTGGAAGCAGCAGAAGTCTTGTCTGGTGCACTTTTTTGTAGGCTAATTTCCACCCCTATGGCGACATGTCCCTTTATGTGGCAGTTTAAAGAGACTCTATTGGGTGTGCCATCCGAATGAGGAAATGAAGAATTGTGAAGAAGAGGGAGTGCTTAGAGTGCCTGCTACTTGGAAGTTGTGGCCATTTGTAATTAAGGATAACTGATGAAATCACATCTACAATAGCAGTCATATTGCATGATAACGTATTGGGTCACAGAAAACCAGTTATTGACTAAGGAGTAAAGGTAAGAATTGTGACAAGATATGCATGTAAAAGGATCATCCTGCAATACGTAAACCTTAGTAACATGTCATGTGTATTGAATTCTAGCACTGTAAAAGCTCTTCCATTGGACCTGCCATTTAATTCTACAGCAGCATGCGTATGTGGATTTCATTAACACCTACTAGGTTTGAATACTGAATCTCAAGTAATCATCCTTAGTAATCAATCCTACACTAATAAACTTGACCAGCTACTTGTGCTCTAGGCATTGTCTAAGATCTCCAATACCATCTGTTTGATTGTTTGGTTAAATTCTGCCATGCTGATTTTTCTGCAGGCAGCTCATCAAAAAGCTTCTTCACTCGTTGCTCCTGCAGTATGCTTTGCTTTCTCAGGAGCTCCAGAAATTCCAGGTTGACCTGCTTTGACATCAAAGGGTCTCTGGCTTTTGGTACATGTTCAATATTGTCAGGTGGGGGTGGAGGATCCATGTCCAGCATGCATTCGTCAGTTATGTCAGAGCAATACTGTAATCACATACACATATGGTGGCCTTAATGTTTATTTCTAAAAATACATGAAAGTGATATGAAAGTAGCCAAGACAAATGTGCCACAGAAGTCCACCAACCCTTGCAAAGGCCGACTAGGTAAAGGTTCTTTTGGCATATGGGTGGAGGAAATAAAAAAGGCACCTGTTAGGATGGGTAGTGAAGGCAGCAGAAAGAATATGGGAAATAACTGCTTCAAGATTTTACAACTGGGATAAATCATTCTGGATATTCACATATATGATTGGGGCAAGGGGTTGTTTTTTTGTAATCCAATAGCTGAGGATTTTGTGGGGGGAACAAACCAGTGTATTGCATCACTTCTACTTATCTGGAGGTAGATGGAGAGTGGGGAAGATAGTGGCAAGGTGGGTGTGATTTAAACAAATCAATGGAGCCAATTCAGTGCTCCTGTTTGTTTGTTTATACCATGCTGACCTCGCTTCCAACTTGCCTTTCCCCCTCTACCTCCTGTTAAGCAGCAGCAATGTGACCAGTCAAAGGTCAGGTGAGTAGCTGTGCTCCATCACACTCTGACACTGCTGTAACCCGTCATTGTGCAATGCTCTGGCATGTAAGAAAATGTGTCCTGCAGTTGCTGTGTCTCCTTAATTGCTAGGTACACCCACACCTCCAACTAAGCTGGCATGGTTTTGAAATGGGCTGGCACACCCCATTAAAGTGATATCCACCCTGCATTGTTGAAACTCTCACTATGTGGGCAGTGAGAACTTCAATCAATGATGCTATCAGGATGACAAGAATGGAGCCACTTCTGAATGAATACCACACAAAAATTGCAACAACTATGATTGATTTCCCATGACTGCTTACTTGAATATTTTCTGTATATATTTCTGCAGCTTCCATTATTCTCGCATCATTATTTTAGTAAAAAGAAGTAGTCACTTTGAGGAATTTTGTCAAAAAGCAGGATATGAATCTAAATAAATTAAATAAACCATTTAAAGATTAAGAAGCATACTGTGACCAAATTTTTACTGTATTTTTCGCTCCATAAGATGTACCTGACCATAAGAGGCACCTAGTTTTTAGAGGAGGAAAAAAAGTAGAAAAATATTATGCACAGAGCGTGTAAGCGGATCTCGATTTTCTTGCTTTAATGCAAGCAAAGCAAGAGCTGCTTACTGTGCTTCTGTTTCCCTTTGCGCAGCTCTCACTTTGCTTGCTCATCCCTTCAGAGGCATCCCTCATATCGCGACTGCAGCCGTAGCCGAGGGATTCCTCTGCCGTCCAGTGCTTTCGCTCCATTAAACGCGCAGACATTTCCCCTTTTTAGGAGTAAAAAAGTGCTTGTTATGGAGCGAAAAATATGGTATTTCCATGGCACAATCTATGTCCATGGCACCATGCCAATGACCATAATACTGTGAGGCGTCATCAAGAATATCTACTTCCCAGCTCTGTAATAACATTCCTCAACACACCCAATGATTTTCAGATCAAAAGCTTGGCCTTTGTTCACAGGGCCATACATCATCTTCAGAAACAAATGCCCCCAAAATTATTGAGATGTGTGTGTGTGTGTGTGTGTGTGAAATCCTAGTTGTTCCAATCACTCTGGGGAGCTTAGAACATAAAAACCAGAGCAACACATCATCAATTAAAAACTTCCTGATGCAGCGTTGCCTTCAGAAAGTTGTGTAGTTGTTTATCTATTTTTCACCAATTCCAGCTGTCTTTTTGTTTTCTCTACTTTTCTTACTATAAGTTTAAAAGGATTTGCATTATAGGGCTCAAATCTTGGAGCACCCTTTTATAAGCATAAAAGAAGTGCCACTTTTACTCTTTCACGTGTAATATTATTTCATGTTTAGTTAAACACTCACCTTCCTGTTATACTGTTCGATTCTGCCTCTACTAGTGCAAGTTGCTTGTGTAGGTCCCCAGGCCACCCCTCAAATAATTTCCCACATAACAAGTAATTTTAGTTTTGGTTTTGGGGCACTATTTTGGCCACAACTTTATTAAAATACAAAATCAGTGAGTGGTTGTTTAGACATTGGTTATGTCTATCTGTCCCCCCGCCTGGGACAGAACTGACATACCGAGGTCCGATCAGAAGCCAGTAGAAGGGAAAGTCAAAATGGGGGATCATTTGAGCTAAGCGTCGGACCCACGCCACTCACCCCAGTAGCTCCCCAAGGCTTGCTGGCCCTGGTCCCACGACAGGGATTGGACGAAATCGTGGCAAGCCCCAGGATTCCTTTAACGGAATTCCCTTCAGCGCAATAGGAGGGGCAGGCACAGCCTATCCTGACCCCTCCACCACCAGCATTTTATAACCAATGCCTAACCGCCACACGAGCTCTAACGCTCGCCGCCAACCACTCACAAACCCAACCAGGAACCTAATTTTTCAGCCACCACATCCAGCCAAATATCATTCCCTAAATCAGAAAGGTGTACACCATCCACCTGGTAAAGGGCCACAGCCTTAAAATAAATGCTAGGGTGCGGAATCACTAAGCCACCCAGCTCTAAAACCTCCTTGCACACCACAGAATTAATGCGCTTCCTGGCCTTCTCAGCGGCCTCCGGGCGGGAAACGCCGCGCCAGGATTGCCTCTGCAACAAGTGAGACCAAATAATTCTCACAGAAGGTAGCAAGGCTCCCAAATGCTCCAAATCCCTTCGGATAATGGAACGCAAAGTAAGGCTATCAACAGTTGCCACATCATTTCCCCCCAGCTGCACTACCATGGCCATGGGGGGGTGGGGTGGAGAAAGCAGCTGACATCTGATAAGCGGCAAAAACTCTTCCCACAACATTCTGTGTCTGGAAATCCATGACACTTGCACGTACTGAGGGAGGCCGAGACACGATCCCCTGGCAGATTGCCTCGCTCTGATGCCAGCCCAATGAACGATGCTGTGTCCCACTATCCAGACACGGACCGGCGAGGGATCTACAAGTGGAAACAAGTATTATTTTAAAAAATCAACATTTGTTACGCACATAACCCTTGAAGGCATCTGATTTCCATCTCCCCAGATCCTTAATCCTGGCAGCTGACAAACCCCAATGGGCTGCCATGGTTGCTGCCCCTATGCAAAAGGAATAAGGAGCAAAACCGGAGGCCGCGATCCCACATGCCGCAATGACCCTACGCATGATTTTTGTGAACTGATGCCGCGCCAGAGGGTGACCATTTTCATGCATGAGCAGAGGGCCATCCCCAGGAGGTCTCAAGGCCAAGTACTTCCTCACGTCCTTGACCGGACACGGGCCCGCCTCCCCAGTGGCTGGGAGGCGGACCACCTCCCCCCGATCCAACTGGTCAGTTTTGGAGTTGCGCACAACTAGTCTCAATTCCAGGGGGGACACGCTAATGTCCTGAAGGAGCAACCCACAGGAACCAGCAGTAGAGTTGCCCTTTACTATGACCTCTCCCACCCGAAGGGCTCCGAAAAATGCTAGTGAAAAAGCCGCTGAAAAAAGGAGCGCTTCATATCTAGACCAACACACGCTCCTCAGTTTGGTGCGCATACTGGACAACAGCTTGAAGGTAATAGGACGCCTGGAAGCCATCCTAGGGGGGGCAAGTCTACCCCAACCTTCCATAGCTTTGCGCACCACAAATTTAGAACAAGGGTCCTTGTCGTAAAAGGACTTGCTAAAAAATGAGATTGCTGCAGAATGAATTCTCAGAGTTCTGGCAGCACGGCCCAGCTGAAACAGGTGTGCCAAATATTACAGGACCTGAGAAGTGGAAGGAGGGGGTTGAAAATTGGCGGACATCGACTGTGTACATTTTAAAAAGTCAGTCCAGGCTTTTTTATAGGATCACAAAGTGGACGTAGAAATGGATGCTGCTACTCCCTGCAAAATGAAGTGCTGCCAAGATTCCAGAGGTGTGGTGGAAAATACTCTGGACGTTTCTGAGCTTCTGGAGCCAGGGACCAGAATCGCTCCATCTGAAAAGGGGATAGAGCATCAGCAATATCATTAGATATCCCGGGGATGAAGCATGCCAAAAACACAATATTAAACCTCAGACAGTGTAAAAGAAAAGCCCGCAAAAGAGCCGATACCCTGGGAGAACGAGATGACTGTTTTGCCAGCACGTTCACCACCGCCTGGTTGTTGGACCAGAAACAAATCCGACGGTCCCTGAATTCAGCGACCCATAAATGCACTGCTACTGCAATGGGAAAAAACTCGAGAAATGTTAAGTCTCGCGTAATTGCTTCCCCTTGCCAGTCAGGAGGCCACCGCATGGCACACCATCTTCCATTCCAATACAATCCCAATCCCAATGAACCAGCAGTATCAGAGTGCACCTGAAAATCATTGTGGAGGTTCAAAATGTCCTGCCACAAGGATACACCATTGAATTCTAAGAAATCCAACCAAACCTGCAGGTCCGCCCAGACCTGCGCTGACAGTCGCACTCGATGCTGCAGAGCCCATAATCCGGCCGTGAGCCTGGCCAAACGGGAGCAGAAAGGGCGACCAGGCGCCACCACTCTGCATGCAAAATTCAAATGACCTAATAAGGACTGGAGCTGCCTCAGGGTAACCTTCCTCAAAGGAAGGATCTCCTGAATAACCCTACGTAAAGTAATTAACTTATCAGGGGGTAAGCTGGATGTTTGAGCATTGGTATCCAACCGAATGCCCAAATAGGTCAATTGAGTAGCTGGGCCTTCTATTTTATCTGCCACCAAGGGGACCCCCAGCTCTTCCATA